GGTTCTTATATAAATGGTAGTTAGCACACGTTTAGTCCATTTAGGTTCTTGAATAGGTTCTTGGTTTCCAAAGGGAAAAAAATACAATATAGCTAAGAGTATTTGGTGGTTCAGTTGACATATCTTATATTAATTTTTTCTAAGTGTACAGAAGTTTTTCATAGATTTTAGAAAATAAGAACCTGTTTCAAATTTTAGGCTGAACAGGTTCTTAAATAGAAGGGGTTTAACTGGCAAATTTTAGCCTGACAGGTTCTTAAAATCCAGGTTCCTAGTCGCGGGGTTTTACTGTATAGGTCATCCGTCGTCAGACCATTGTCGTCGATTTGGGCCAAACGTCCGTCGTTGACGGTCGTCGTTTTCGACTGACTTAAGCTCGGCTATTGGTCGTCTGTCGTCGGATTCTTGGCCAACAGACTGTGGACTTCTGACAGTTTTGCGTTGTATCTTCTTTGCAGCTGGAAATAAAAGCTCAAGTTGAGGAGTATGCGAGACAAAGAGCTGAAGAACAGGAGATATTAAAAGCAGCAAGAGAAGCTAGAAAACAACAAGAAAAAGCAGTTCATAGACTAACAGCCGACGAGGCAGCCAAAATACAAGAAAGGGTTTGTTGTATTTTGAAACGTGTTGTATCACTTGAAGGTAGTTACTTATGCCTTGGGGTAGCGTAATGTTAAATTTTAACCTCCTTTTTTATGTTTCAGAGTCAAAAGATGCTCGAAGAAAAGCAAGCTAGGAAGAAAGAGAAAGAAGTGGAAAAAATGGAAAAAGAAAAAAGACTCCAGAAACTAAAAAGCCAGGTGCTTATTTTACAATTCAGTTCTATTTATAAGACTAGAAGATTTACTTCGTATTTTGCTTCCGTTGTTTATTGTCACGAAGAGATTAAACATTTCTTTTCAACACAAAATGCTAGTTACAAGTTGTTGACGTGGACACCTATGTGGTTTAATCGCTTTCGTCGTGTTGCCTCTTGGCTGATTCAGTAGGGCATTATACAAAGAAGACACGTCTTGTTTATCCTGGTATAAATGCCTCTAATGTTGTTTATTGTCACAAACAAGAGTAGTAAAAGGAGTAGGCGAAGTCGCATATATATGTAGCTAATTCTATATTCAAATGGTTAAATACTTTCGGATGGTAAAACTTGTTGCATCAGTTGACGTTAAAGTACGGTATTTAACAGAATAAGAGCAGGGCGCCTATTAAATTTTCACGCCTCAAGTGCGGCGCTTATTTGAAAATTTTACCTATTAAAGAATTCGTGTCTCTCCCCAGTACTCACTCACTCTCCGTTTTGACTCTTACGCCAGACGAGGACACTCCAGACCTTTCCTTTGATTGCTCGCGCGCGCGTTCTTAACCTAGGCAAAAATATGGGCCGTTTCGCAGTCTAAAATTGTATTAACTATGGTATTATTATTATTTTCCTTATTAAACTAACAGAATTAATGACTTTTGATTTTGATTATATCGGGGCCGCAGCGCTTATTCAAGGGCGGCGCTTAATTGAGGGTGGCACTTATTCGAATAAATACGGTATACAAAGTTTCCGAAACAGAAAGAGAGTTGACGTGTAGAAGTGATCAACGCCTGTATATCATATTGCTAACCTGGAGGGCAAAGGTTCTGTCGTCGAGTTTTCCTTGTCTTAGACACTGGCATTCAAGTCTTTCATTAGGATAGACGACGAATGCTGAACGTGGTATTAGTGGTAACGAGTTTTGGCTTTATCCTTCTTAGGTCGAGGTGAATGTATCACGTGACCCTTCACGACTTTATAAACTCACCGCGGGTTGGCAACAGCGAAAGAAAGAAGGGCCTGGGGCTGGTGACGGGGGACGCCTAATGCAAATGCCACACAGGTAGGTGTGCGTATTAATTGACCACTACAGAAAATACCATAACATACCATAATGCTGTTTGTTTGTAACCCAAAAATTTTGCATAAGCATTGTCTTCAGTTTCTCTTGCGAGCTAAAATGGCCCCAAGAGAAATTGAAAACAATGCTTATGCAAAATTTTGGGGTGATAAACAAAGAGCATTATGGTATGTTATGGTATTTTCTGTAGTGGTCAATTTCGTTATGTAGTCTGTAACAATGCTGGTGTATTTTTCGGGTGAGCTTTAATGCTCAATATTTTCCTGCTTGTAGTCTCGTCTTTGATTCGAATATAGACGGAGAGGGTGGGTATAACACTGAAGCAACAAAAGTTTCTCCACCCAACCCTTCCCTACATTCCGTGGCTCGTGCACTACAACCCGTGCAAATTCTAATGCTCAGTACTTTGTACCCCGGCCTAAAGAAAACGCCTGCACTGCAGCCCTTCCTTTTTTTTCTAGTTATAGTCACTATAAGAATAATAAATCAATAGGATTATTAGATTTATTAGATGTATTTCTCTCTTTTACGTTTTCTATTGAAACTCGTGCACGGCAAATAAGACTGAAAAGATAGCTTCTTGAAAATGGTTTCTTAGAAAAAAAATTCTTGCTCATTTTGACAGTGTGTGTTTGATTGAGAAGTTTCCATTATGTTCCATTTATTTCGGTTCCTATTCTTCCCGTTTGACTACACAAGCACGCCATGCGACTTGCCATTTACATGAGAAAACCGCAAATTCCGGTTTGAAAATTAAATGGTTCTCACCATTCCGTTTGGGAAGCTTCTGAAATTATGGGCTGTGATTTGAGGCCATGCAATTTTTCTACTCTTTTTAGCCTGTTCAGCTGAATTGGTTATTCTTAGTAGCGGGTTATTCTCCTTAGTTTTGTGTTTATGCACAAGATATCCAGCCTGGTGGAAAAAATGGTAAGTAATGGTAGCACCCTCGATGTCCCACACCTCAAAAAAGCGATACATGTATTTGCTGTTCTTGTTGACTGCAGGGCGGTTCCCTCTTGGAGGCAGGGATTGTCATAAGGAAAATCTTTAGTTCATCGTCTGAGTGTCCCATTCGCTTCATCACAACACAACAAACGTACCCGTTATGGTTATATGGGTCGCGACAAAACTCATCAACTTTCTCTGAGGAGGCCAAGCTACTGGGTGCCTTTTTAGACTCTTTCTCTACACCAAGAGCCCATTCCGTTCACACTGATGGAGGTGGTTACAGATGCAATAGTGAACTTTTGAGTTCAGTACAAATTTGACTGAGATCGATAACGATGACGACTTAAGTTAAATCCTCGAAACTCCCACTTCTTCTTGCTGAAAACGAGATGGAAAGACTTAACATTGGTCAGACAAGTGAAAACTGACAATACTATGAGATTTTTGTTAACAGTTGCGAGTTGCAGTTGCGGTATTGCAGGTTTTCGTTATTGATTTTACTAAGCCTGTTTAGCTGGTTGGAATGATCTGGAATGGGGCATTAAAAAGTAGACAAACATGGTTTATAAACTGTTATGCACTCTCACTCTTAACTCACACTAGAGTTTAATATAAGGTCTCTACTGTAAGCAAATTTATAAAAGTGTACATTTTTATTTGAAAATATAAATAAAAATATTTATGAGAAGTAAAAACCAAACGTTGCGTTGACATGAAAGTGACCGTGCTAGTGGGGTTGTATCTGGTTACGGTTAAGGCAACAAAATTAAGCATTTTTTTAATTTTGGAAGAAAAGAAGTGTTCTACAGTGGCGAGTGGAGAGTTTGTTCGATGTCGACACAATTCAGTACGAATTATTCATCACTATAGATGAATAATCTCAACATGCGGAACTCAAACATCTTTATTTGCAAAACTGGATTCTTATTCCTACAACGTGAATCTTTGTGAAACTTCTTTCTGTTGAATTACTTTTCACAAACATATACTCGATTTTCTGGTCACATTATTCTCATGATTAAACCTCGTTTCCCTTAAAAAAGGCTTCTGCCTTTTAAAGCCATGTGTCAAACACAGTCAGCCTGAGAAACAGCCGACATTTCGCTACCAATCTTGACCAATCTTGCAATTCTTTATGCATTCCCCAGTGATTGTTGCAGAGTCAGAGATACTTAAACGTGGATCCCGGCTATTGGTGACTTCATTTTCCCCACTCAACTTCCTCATGAACATTTTCATCATTTCTAGATGATGTATGTGCCTCTAGTTGATCGTCTTCAAAGGAAGAACCATTCAATTCAATTGGATTTTACTAAACCAACAATATTCCTCACGCCCTCATGGCCTCTGAGTCAATAGCCCATTCGGCCGCTATTGACTCAGGGCCCATTCGGGCTCGATGAATAATTGTTAAATAGCAACCAAATTGAGCATTGTTTCTTCGTGTTGGAGGAAAAGAATTGTTCTACAGCGGAGAGTTTGTTCGATGTCAAATTTTCTCCTACACGATTCAATAGGCTATTATCGAGTTCAAAAACCTCTCACTTTCAAAGCGAGGTCAAGTGCCAGACCTTTGTTGTGAAAATGAGTTTTGCTTGCATGAGAATAAAAAATCGTGTTCATATCAATAGCTCCGCACTTAGCCTCGCTTTGAAACAGAGGCTTGAGGTAACTCGGAAATGGCGTGATTGGTTTGTATATCAGTAAGGATAAATAATCTCAATATGCCTCATTTAGACATCTCGATTATTCGCAAAGTTGGATTCATTTTTCCTACAACATGAGTTTTGACAATTTTTGTGGAACCCTTTTCTTTCCAGATTTGTTGTAGTACAACAACAAACATATCCTTGCCCTACTGATCAAACCGTTTCAATTTCAAAGGACTCCTGTATTTTAGAGCAATGAATAGACCACAGATGCAGAAAAATCTGAATTCCCCGCCAAAAGTAATTTCTTAATCTATTTGAAAACTCTCTCAGAAATTCTTTTGACACTCTTCGCTTCCTTGAGCGCTGAGAGTCTATTTAGAAACACGTTACTTTGCTGTTGCTTGGAGACCAGTGGAGGAAAACGGTCCTATATCATAAATTTGATTAAACACTGTTGCAAGCCTCTTTATGACGTCAATAAAACACAAGAATCAGCCTGAAAGGTAAAGTGGCAATGGATGCTGAAGACTATCAAAGACATGTTGCTATGAACGATATCTGTGGTCGCAGATATGGACTTTGGGGCGAGGGAGAGTGGACCAATTTAGAGGATCAGTGGACGAAATGGTTGGAAAAGGTATCTGAGGGTCTTGTCGTCTTGCGGAAAGATCAAAATGGGAAAGTGATTGGTACTGTAGTTGACAGGAGGGTAAAAATATGCCCCAAATACCTTGAAGAAGGGCCCCATTACTCTCTTGGCTCTTGTCCGCGATGGCATATTTGTAAAAGGTTCCTTGAAGATAATTGTCGAGGTGGATGTAGCCGTTCTCATGACTTCTATGATGAGAGTAACAGAGACAAGATAGAACGATTTTTTCTTGAGTTGTTTCCTAATGAACTTATCAGAAGGATCGTTAGCTACAGCCTGCCTCAAGTTTGCCTCCTGTTTTTGAACGGAAAATGCAATTACGATGGTTGTCCGTACCTTCATATTTGTCCTAGTGTGGTAGGAAAGTTTAATTGCCAATGTTCTCTGACACACAACAACGCTGGTCTAAGTTTGCATAACAAGGAAGTTCTACAAAGGTACTGGCTACAGGCAAGGATCACTGATTTTGCTCTTTTGAATATTTTGGTGCCGGTCGAGCAAAGAAATTTTAAATCAAGCGTAACTGTGATACGTATATATTGCCCGAATTTGAAGTTACCCATATTTGAGGATCCCAAAGGCGTCTTAAAAATACCTAATGCAAATGCATTTGTTATTGACAATCTCATTACACGTTCTACTTAAGGAAAAGACAATACCGTGGCACAGAGGTAAGCCATTGAGATTTTCTTGTTTTGCGTTAATCTCCAACACCTTTTAGGGTTTTTTGAAATTTTCTGATAAGCTTACCTGTCATTTGATTTTTCTTGGGAATTCAGCGTTGCTTGTAAGTAACTGTTCGCGAAAGCGGTGGCCGCTGTTGTTGCAGGGGGCTTTTCCAAACGTTCCTTCCTTGCCTACAAACCTCGTCAAAATTCGTCGAAACATACCGATCCTCTTTTTAAATTTGATGTGAGATTTTAAAGTTAAGTGGCGAAAACTTCAATTAATCTCGTGCCATTTTCGCTCTAAGAGAGGGCTGGGAATTGCTCTCGTTGCGCTTGTTTGCTGAAACAAACAAGATTAAGACTACATACAGGCAATCTGGCGTGAATGTTGCCACTAGCGTGACGTTTATTTGTCTCAAATATTACTTGATAACCTTAAGAAAAATTACAGGTACTGTATGATAACGTCAGGTGGGGCAGACGAAAAACTGCCACAAGCCACAAAAAGAGGCCGTCCCTCCCTTCACCCCTCGCCACCCCAAATCTTGCCAAGTGTCTCGAATGGTTTTATCAGAGATTGTAAGTTCCTTCCAATGGGGAAGCTGTATGTGCGTTAACACGTTTCTACATATGCTAAAGGTCTGAGAAAGATGTTAACTGTTTAATTACTGCCAAAGTCAAGTCAGGGTATCGAAAGGGACCCTGGGTAAATTATGTCTACATGAAAAAAAATTTTAAAAGATTGCCCTTTGCGTTTAGGAACCGTGCCGTAAATAGTCATCTCCCAGATCACTGGTCTTCAATGTCGTCTGAAAAAATATATATACGTGTTAAGCTAGAACCTTCTTCAAAAGAATTTAAAATAGTGGAGCGTTTATTTCGACATACAATGAAAGACGAGGACGTCATTGTTGAAATAAAGAGACTGCAGAATCCTTTTCTGTGGGAAAAGTATTGCAGGTAAGCCATCTTTGTTGCCGATCTTATACGTATCTGGGTGACTGACCTCCTACCCCTCCCCTAAACCAACATTTTGCCTTAAGTGAGAAGTAAGTGCAGGAGCCGATTACTGAACGGCTCCTGGTAAGTGTTGATGTTGGTTTAGGGGAGAGCTAGGTGGTGAGTTACCCAGATACGTAAAATGATCCTTTGTTGCCAACTGAAAGTTATTGCTGGGTCAAGTAATCTTTGCCTCCTTTTCTCCTTCCCATTTTTCTTTCTTGCCATCTTTTGCGAAAAACACAGCGGCAGTTGAATTATATAAAATTTTACAATTACTCTGCTTGATTAGTTATCACCATTCTAAGTAGACGTTATCTACTGGTTTGATTTATAATGAACAAACTGTTTGAAATTAAAATCACAGGCCAATAATAATAGATTAAGTAAGATCTGTGGGTCTTTTCTTTTGTTGTACGTAATCTGTGCCTCGGTACTACAGAAGGAACCAGGGGCCCGTTTCTCGAACGTCCTGGTAACTTTTCGGGCCCGAATTCAAATATTCAAATCGAAATATAAAGAATAAGAGCGCAGGTCCTGGCTAGCAGACTACTCCATTTTGTTTCATTAACTGACAGTTTTATCATGTTAGATGCAAAACGGTTCAGGGCCATTAGTAACTAGAAACCGATTGACGAATTTCCTAAGAATTGTTGTTTCTCATTATTCTCATCCAAGGAAAAGAGAATACATGGAAAGGTACAGACCACTGGAATCGGCGAATGAAAAGCAGTTATTTCACGGAACCAGCAAACATTCCGTAGGTGCCATTTGTAAACAAAACTTTGATTGGCGCGTTCCAATCAAAAATGGAAATGGTTTATATGGCCAAGGAATTTATTTCGCAAAAATGCCTCAGATAGCAAATATTACGCAAAACCAAGTGAGCGTCATCATCGCTACATGTTTTTGGCCCGGGTATTGGTTGGTACGTACACCGTCGGCGCACGTAGTTACTGTAGACCGCCACGTAAATATTACCTCGATCCCGAGAGTGATTTGTACGATTCGTGCGTGAACAACGTGAAGAATCCGACGGTCTTCGTTATCTTCGACAACGATCAATGCTATCCAGAATACATTATCAAGTATCTCACGCTGGAGGGCGCTGATGGCTTTCTCAGAGGAGCTAGTGCATTTAGGCCGGCATCATCTGCGGTATCCAGGAGACAAGTTTCGCCGGCATATCCCAAAATTCAAAGACCACCAAAACAACTGCCATCACCCCCAAGAAAATATCAAAAGATTTTCTATGTTTCCTATGTTTAAATCCGAGGGGAAGTTAGGTTGTTTCTTTTCAAACAAAAATAAACTTCACAGAGTGCGGAAATTTACAATTGACTTTCCTTAAATCCTCCACTCTTTTTGTTGGTAAATTTTGGATAAGTTATATTTTTTCAGATGCTCTTGGGAAACTACAGTCCTCCCAGGAGCAGTTGTGAATTATAGTTCATAAAAAATTTGGGGGGCAAACAAAGTGTATTATGTAATGTTTAATAAACGAGCAGCAGTGTTTAATCGGGTATAAAATCACGAGCTGAAAGCGAGTTATTTTAGACCCGATAAAACACCTGCTGCCAGTGTTTTAAACGACTTCAAAAACATTCCTGGAAAAACGTGTCTCAATGGAGTTCATAACAATGACGCTTTTTTGTGAACGTTGGAAATTAGCATACGAAAAAAACATTATTATTCTACTACATGAGAAATTTCTGCAATTTGATTGGCTTAGAGCAGTGGTATTTCAGCTTAATTTGAAATACCTACATGTGAAAATTACAAACCTTTGTGGGTAGTAGTATAAACAAATAATAGCATGATTTGTACGTGATATGTAGCATAAATACCACTTGTGATATTTCAAAATTGTCTCAAATTTCACTCGCCTAACGGCTCGAGAAATTTCGTCTAACAATTTTGAAGTATCACTCGTGGTATTTATGCCATATAGCACTACAAATCACGCTATTACCTATACTTACGTATGAAATTATTATGCAAGAAAGTCAAACCTCACAGGTGTTTAGAAATTTTCTTCTCCGAACGATGCTAACGGAAGACGACATTGCGTCCTGTTCCAGAGCTTTTCAGAAGCCTAAAAAGGCCGAGGAAGGGATGAAGTGAAAAAGTAGTCTTTGAAAAATTTTTTTGGAATGACTGAATGGTGGGAAAACAGGAATCCAGTACTTGCGTCTTCACAACTTACAAGTCTTGAGTGGAACGACTGCAAAGCTTGGACACTGCTGTAGCCAATTCTCCGACTGAGTCACTAAACGTTCGGCTGATAAAATTTGTGGAAGAACAAATTTAAATTTTGTGCAATAGTAATATACTGGGTGTGTAATTTTGAAAGAACATTAAATATTCATCCACCATTTGTTGCGTCAGTTGCTGAGTTGATAATCAATATTCATATAAGTCACGTGCAGTGACATTATATCTGATAAAACACTGCACACTAATAAGGGGTGATTTTATATCAGATATAATGCCACTACACGTGATGTATTATCGACCATTTGATAGGTCAAGGGGCTTATGAATTATTAATGTATTTTTTAAGGGGGATTCGAAAATAGCCCCACAATACCAATAACTCGCATTCACTTGTTGTTTTCACATAGTCGCCATTACTTCAGCGGTCAAATTAATAAAATCTTTACAAGTGTATCTACGGTTTTCAGACTCTAAAACAATGGCTAGTACTTGTAAATTACAATTGCAAAAGTTTTATTTAATTGACCCCTACCATCTCACCATCTCACTAGATGTACTCAATAGAGAGGAGAGGTCGTTACGTCACGTTCCCATGGTAGCGAAATTTTTGGATGACAACAAGCCGATAAAGTCACTTAAAAGTCTATTCACACTGTTTCAAACTTCACCGGTCTTCTTCAGTTTCATTTAATTTGGCAAACCTTGGTGAAAATTTTCTTTGGGACCGTATCTATCGTTATCTAAGTTTAGAAAAAGAAAACGACAATTTTTGTGTTGTGTTTACCCACCCCATTAAGCGGACTCGTTAAATTAGGAAGTTTCATGTCGTAGTGGTGCAACGACTGCAAAGAAATGTACAAAATGGCTTGATGCACGTGCAAAGTTGTTGATTGTTAATATCAACATTTTTTTTGCCGTTCTCCTTGCCGTCGCCGTCGCCGTTGGTTTTGTTGTCATCCAGAGATAGTGCTGCCATGGTAACGTGACTTCACACTTCTCCTCTCTATTGCCTTACCCATTTGTTGGATTTCTAGTATATCAAAAACACCTACATACACATCTGAGCCGGCTACAGATTCCTTAAGGAGACTCCACTGACACCCTTAGCAATTACAGTTGCAGATGGCAGGAGTTAGGTATATTCGCAATACACTAGCTCTCGCCCAGAAGTAAAGCAAATACTACTGCCAATTAGCTGGCTGTAATCCATTATCAGACCCATTTCAGTGGCGGATCCAGACCTTCAGATAAGGGTGTGTGTGTGTGTGTGTGGGGGGGGGGGGGGGGGGGGGGGG